TAGCAGCCCTCTTAAATTAATTACAGAGAATGGATGAGGGAAAGGAAAAGATCCTCTCGCGTTCGGTTCCCCTACTAAACCAACTAAAGCGAATGCCAAAGCGGTGAAGAGATTCTAAAAGAGCAAAGGAGACTCGGAAAGGGCGACGGGGGTTGTATACACGTACTTAGTATGTTCGAGCGAGTATTTGATAGCCGGCAATTCTCGTTAAACTTGAAAAAAAAAAACCACTGCTCGTCCTCGTTTAACGTTCAAGTAACCAAACTGTGGTTTTCAGCGCTCTTGAACCTTAACCCTCCGTTAAGGACATTTTTATCATAGAATTTTAGACAGTTTCTTCAACGAACGCGAAGCAATCAAGCTGTTGGATACTTTTTGCGTATTATCATCGAGATCGATAAGCGTTATTATTATTCACTAACGCTTGACGTGTTGAGTTAATCGGATCGATTGTACATCTTGTTAAATTTTTGTGAGAACGCGCGAGGGTACCCGGAGGGGGAAAATATTTATGTATCTCGGCGAGTGCAGAATCGGTGGCAAAAGTGGAATGTGGCAATCCGGTAGCCCTTAAATCGGCCTGTCACGGTCTCTCGAAGGATAAATCTTGGATTACCACGCGCTACGCTCCCCTTTCTCTTCCTTCGCTCCTTCCAAGTGTCTCTCGTCCTCCTTTTTCTCCTCTTTCGACGTCCTCCTTGTCCCTTTTCGGTAACACCGGCTTAACGCTCGGAACTACCGTGTAAAGTGTAAACCGTCTCCCCTTCTACATATATCTTTTCTTATTTCCATTCGGACGATTGATTAAATTTAATTTCCCGGTTAACTCGATCCTCGCGTTTCAATATTTCGTTTTATTACGACTTCATTAAATCAATCGAACCTCGCGATTGAAATAGTTATTTTTGTTTCTACCTCCAGTTTTATTTTCTCGCCTCTCGTTCGGAGTTAAAAAGGGGTGTAGAAGCAGGATTTGCAGTAGCAGGGAGGATGCAGGGCGAACAGGATAAAACAGGTAGTCGGTATTATTCGGGACTTACGCTGCTTATGTAGGATTATAGGCGTTAGTCATTCCGCCCCGGCTATACCATGATTTCAGAAACACCCTGTATATACGTGATCTCCTAATTTTATCAGAATTATTCCTGCGCCGCTGATAAACGATTTTTTCGATTATTTTTCGATCACTCAGTAATTAACACCGACCAGCAAAATTAGTAACCATTTAATCGTAACAAATGACACAAGAATTCCGTTTTGAGGGATAATAATATCGGTAACCACACGGTATGCAACATGGTTTCTCTCCTCTCGGATTACCTACGTACGTGTTTCTACTCTTCTCACGATCCATACACTTCGGGTCTACGCTTCCAGTAGTTTGTTATACGTAAATGCTGAAAGTAACACGAGTTGGATAAGAGTAATTCGATATATCGAATCTAGAGACTATGTATGTGTTTATATTCTTTTGTAAAAACGATACACTGGTTTGAGTGTCAATTACTATTTTCTATAGTTTTCCTCCTTATGCGGATCGTGAGACCGATTCGATTATTCGGATCCAATCGTTGAAACAGAGTAACGGAATGCTTCGTGGACCGCGGGTATGATAGTATAAAATAAATCAAGAAAAGGGAGCGTAATTTATTTAATTATACCGAATTCACGCGTGTTCCCCTCGTTTTCTCACGGTTAGGAACAATAAGGACATTCATTCGTTTCGACAACGCGGCCTCTCTTAAGTCTTAATCGTTTGCCACCGGAATCCACGTTTTATGCAAAACAGCCTCTTTTATGTGTCTCGCTCTGCTCCCAGTTTACGTTTTCCTCGGGCATAGCTACTTTCTTTTACAAGCCCCGAGACTTATTCCACTGGCAAACGATCGATCTCGGGAAATAGTTCGAATGCAACTTCCAATCCTATCGATATTGGCAAACACTTGTTATTTTTTAAAAAATAAATTCTATTCAGTTTCGAAGAAACTAAGGAAGCGTATGATTCGTAAACGGTAATGGTTTAACTTAAGGATATTAAGTTATTGAATGATAATGAAAATCGTTGAAATTACTTGATAATTGAAGTTATATCGAAACTGATTTTCACGGTAACAGCCGTGGCGCGTCGCGCCGTCGCGAATCGCGATGTATCGATTGTGGCAAGACTAATGGCCACCGTGGTTAACCGTATTGTCCACGCAATTTCAAATACATAGTAATAGGGATGATAAATAATTCCGGAATCGTCTGCTTCAATATTTGTTTAACGATCCGATACAATCTTTATCTAATACTCGTTACATTTTACGACGAGACTCGTTTATTGGAGAAAGTTATAAAATAATGTCCACTGGTATAAATTGCCGGAAGTGTTCTTGTTACACGAGATTTCAAACAGTCGTAGTTGTCGAGACAATTTTGACACCTATTTAAAATTATACAGGTGCGTAAACGCCACATAATACTACTCCAGTTTTCTGATATTAGGTTACACAAGAAAGGATATAAGATTAGAACTAGGCAGTATTAAATCAAGACGTGTTGACATAAAGTCGTTGAAATTTTATACATCAGTCGGAGTATCGAATCTAACGTATAATACATAGTATATTTCACTTGAAAAAAGGTTACAATGTTAGCGCATTACGTCTTATGAAAGTATTAAGAAGAGGTCTGGTTTCTTTATTAATTTTACAACTTTCTCATAAAGCGACGGTATTTCATACTCTCGCGCATAGTTTTTCATATAATAAATATAAACCCCGTTCACCCTAACTTTCTCATTCTTCCTCTATCCTCAACTTCGTCGACGTGTACGTCTCTATTCTTTCTTCTTGACGGTGAATACTCCGGTCAGTCAGTTTTCTTTACGCAACAACCTTTTTCATACAAATTCCTCAAATTTTTTTCCATCCCCTCGTAAAAACTTTTACCAACTGACCAAGAATCGAGGGGTTTTTTTTTTTTGCCCCGGAAGATGGTTTCTTGCACGAAAAAGATTCTCAGGGCGTTCAAGTTTCAACGGTGGTTGATATTTCATACAGATCGGTGCAATGGGGTAACCCCTTTTCGAGATAACTTTACCTATATTGTTTACGTATTGTCACTGCCTATACAGAGTATCCCATAGATATACGTGTGCATACATATACACGGTGTCCCGACCAATACAGTACATTACTTTCGTTATTCCAAAAATGATTCGAGCAGAAAATATTCGTACTGTACATATTATAACGAGATAAACGATGCGAATTTCGTGTGTACCGTTCACGCACTACTTAAATCATATAACGTTTATTCAAATGTTATCGAGATATAGTGATACTCCAGAAATCCCCGCGCTATTTACATCGGTTTAAACGGCGATAATTGCATGTATATCTTGTAATTGAGCACTCCGTATAAAACAGTGGACTTACGGTTTTGCATCCGGTAATAAATATGAAGTATCCTTGAAATTACATTACATGGTTCAGCTTAAAATTGATGATGTAATATAAAGGTGACCGCGTTTTCATGCCAGTTTAACCTTAATGCTTAGCCCTTTTGCGTTACGCGCACCGGCAAGGGTTAACGAGTATTGAATAACAAGACTAGTAAAAATAGATTGTAGAGTTTCCTTTGGAGCACGCGGGTTTCTATACAGGGTGTCGGAGCGGGTAACCGAGAAACTTAACAGCGCAAACAAGCTGAGAAGCCGAAGAGCATGGTCTCGATGAATTATTCAAGGTTCTTGATCCGGTCTGCCGTATAAACCGACAGACGAATTCCCCATTCTCTGCTCTTTCCATCTTCTCCTCAGTTTTCTCCCCCCCTCTCCGTGTCCCGATAGTTTAGTATAGCTCGCTGTACACTTTTTGCGCAGTACGTCGCCGTCCAGATTGAGATCGCAGGATCGACGGTCACCTGTCGCGAAAAGATAAAACGATGTCCGCTGGTTTTTGCGACCCGCACTCGCCGATCTGCCCCTTATCCACCTTTTGATCTTTCATTTGCCGATAATCGGTAGCGAGCATAAACGAAATCGATTTAGATGATACGATAATATCGATTGTGCACGTGGCACGCGGTCTATTACCAAAGACTCCCCTTTATTATGCAACGAAACAACCCCACGCGCACGAACGGAATTCATATCTACCGGATTAATACTGCAATTATTATGCTTTTGAGTATTCGTTTGTTAATAATGCACACTTAACTGCAGTTATTACTTCCTTTGACGCAGTACATTCGCGTCATATTAATGTGTCCACGAGATAGTAATAGAAATTCCACGTGGAATTATAATACGCTTTCCCTTTTACATTAAGTTCACATTAGAAATTGAACGCCGGCTTGTAACGCGTACATGGAATTGAATTTTTCAAATCCCTTTGATATGCAGCCGCTTCCTCATTTTCCTTTTAGTTTCCTCATTCTGCATCTTGGCTTTCTTTTTTCAATTTTCGACTTTGGGACGTTGCAAGCTGATTAAGCCACCCTATATACAATTAGGCTGCGAAAGGAACCTCAAAGACGACGCCTAACTCCCTTTCTCTTCATCCGTGTTAAACGAACGTTTTCCGGTTGCTTTACCATCGAGAAAAGAATCTTCCCTTTGAGAGCTTAACAAATTTTCCTTGACCTCCCTTAACCCAATTCGGCCAAAGAATATTTATTTCGCGCAAGAGAAGCTCCTTAACTCTCCGTCTTAATTAGTAATCAATTCAAGCAATAGTACAGCGTTTAGGTCCGCGGGTCCCATATTATGATATTATACTTGTATAAAATTTGTTCAATCGTAGTCATGAGATTCGTTTTCACATATCGAAGTGGTCCCACGGCAATTTGCGAAATGATAATTGCGTTGGGTCCACGGGCCCCACAATAAGAATCGTTAATTCATGATCATTGTACTGGTATAATATGCATAGCACCGTAGTTTTAATTGTAATTGTAACTGTAACTGTAACTGTAATTAATCGTTTTGCTAATGATGGTGATAATGGTTCTAGTGGGGCCCGTGTTTGGGGGCCGATGCGCCGCGGAAGCGTTAGGCTTAGGCCTTGGATTGGCCTATAGATTCGCTCTGCCCCCGGGACTCGCTGCCAAGTGCTGCCTTGAGCAAGGTAGGCACCAATCACCCACCTCTATTAATTAAATACTCATTAATCGACCCGGCACCTTTCCACTAATTACTACCCACGGGACGATCAGGCATCACATTTTCGTGGATCAAACTATAAATTGCCGATAAAGTTGTTTAAAAATATTATTTAGAAAAGATTTTATCCGTTTTAAAAAATGAGGATGAGGGAAACATCAACAGCGAGGCTTGACTGAGGGTATTTCTTTTTTTTTTCGATCTTCTCTATCTTCCTCCTTTGTGCCATTTTGTTACCGAAACGACGTTCTCACGCTGGAGGGGGAAGATATCATTTTTCATAAACGTGGCGTAAGCGGTCGTTCCACGTGATTGCATGGATGTATCCAGTAGGATGTAGAACGTAGAACACGAGATATTACTTAAGACCGAGAGGGTAATTTTCTCGATCCTATTTATTACAGCTCGTTACTCGCCCCCCTTCTTCACTTGCTTTTTCTAAAAAGATATTTATACGAAGTGCGAAATGAGATTCCAGTATCCAACAGACATACTACTGCGTCTGGCGTAGATTGATCTTTTTATCAAGTTTTGCATTCCATTTTATTATTGGCAGGTTCTTGCGGCGTTACTGCCGAAATAAATGGAACGAGACAGATTACTGGCGATACATATGTACGTGCACATCCTTTAATCGATACGCGTTGATACTAATTAATTCGCAATCGAGTGTCGCTGCGAAATATTCATTTTAACGCGTAATAAACAAATACGCGTATCCATAATGCATCGCGTCAAAAGGAGAAAAAATTGTATATGTATAAAAAGTAATTACGCGTAAATAAAAGCGACGGGTTCGGATTAATTTCAATTGTCGTTCACGGTGTTACGGGAATTTATAGAAAAATAAATAAAATATAAAAAGTGACAACAATTTACGAAATATTTTACGCGATGATACGTGCGGCCGCCCGTTTAAAATGAAACACGACTCGTTGAAATATTTATTTTTTATAAAACTACGACATTTAAAATATTGTATCGTTCGAGTGTGGTGAAGAGAGAAGAATATAAATCGAATCATCGATATTATTAGCCAGACAGTTGTGCATAAAAACTGAATACCATCATCCTGTTAAAAATATAATATAAAGAGCTTAGCCTCGATACGTTTCTGTATATTTTTAATATTAACATTCGTTCGTGTTTCGATTTAAATATTTTTCACATGAACATGTCATCGTGGTCTTAAATAGAGAAAATGAAAGGTAAAGATATTTCTCTACAGTGATTTCCGTCGCGTTATGTTTGGGGGGTAGAATCGTTAAGGGTTGTAAGAAGGGCAAGGGTGTAAGAATAAGGGTGGCTCCTTATTACCACTTTATCCGCAATTAACATTTATGGACGCCTCGAAAAACTAATTAAATATTCTATAAGACATCCTCAGTCGTCTTAAGTGCAAGAGGAATAATAAATTAAAAGATCAAAAAAGAGAGGAGCTAGAAATAATATACAAGATAAATTCTGACACTCGTGCTGGTCCCATATTTATCATCTTAGGGAAAATCAAATCAAAATCTCAACAAATGTTTTCTGTATACTAAAAACGTGTATAAGACTTCATGCTCTTATTAAGTACAATAATTACTAGTTTCTTTATCAGTCAGTCTAAAATAATCAATGTAGTCCATGATTACAGATATTATTGTCCTCACGAATTTCAGATTTCGTTGTAGTTTAAAAAAAGAACTGTTTAGAGTCTCGTTAGGGATGTGAAGAAATAAAAAGGAGCTGGGAAAAAAATCAGTGACGATCTTTGGCGACTTAAAAGAGCGTTGAGGGTGGTCCAAGAGGAAAGTGGGAGGATGGGAAAGGCAGAAAGAACGGAATTTAATTAAGTAAAATTACTGTCGCGCGAATAGAACAGGCGACGAAGCACACTGGGTCGAGGAGGGGGGGGCGAGGGGGGTGTCGAGTAGAAATTGGGGGCGGTTAGTGGGGATTCAGGGGCGAAAAAGAGGATAAAAGGTGGAAAAGGAGAGGGTAGAAGAGTGCGAGAGGGGAAAAGGAGTGTAACAGCGGGCGAGGGGGGAAATTGAGGGTGGTTAGGGACGCGCAGGGGGATAAGTTGAGGAGGTGCCGACGGTGTCCACGGCTGGCTGCGAAATCGGTGTAACGATCTCATTCCCTGATAAAGAAAGCATGCAAGTTATAAAAAGTAAACAATATCGCAAGAATTTAATTGATTGTATGATGAAGTAGATTCGTTTTAGAATTCGTATGTTTGTCCTGCGATAGTTAGAAAAAAAGGACAGAGGTCCGAAGGGAAAATATTAGAATGGTCGTAATGCAAGAGGCGGCAGTTACAAAGCTTTGATGGATATTGCACAGTACTCGAAAAGGAAAAAGAACGTTAAAACTGGTCGTATACGTTTGACGATCTAATTTTTCGACATTCAGAGTTTAAAGTTAATAAAATCGCAATTCTTCCAGCTGACTAAACCTTCTTCGAACATTTTGTGTTTAATGGTCGGTTAAACCGAGAGACGCAATAATATCGTAAACTGCAAGAGCGAATATTGTCTTTTAATGTCTCCATGACCAATTTTGGTTAGAAGTTACTATTAGTATTTTCTTGACGAAGGAACACTATATTTTAGTACATTACGTGTAATTTCATGAAGCTTCCTGTGTTCTCACAGTACAGATTTTAATTCCTTCTCCTGTATTCAGTTATGTTTTTATGACTTTCTAGATAAAGCTTTGATTGGTGCTTCGCATTATACTATATTTACGGATTTTGTATTTTACGTTTTATGTTCGGCGTGGTTTATTGAATTTTTATATCCTGCACTGTACGTTACGTTTGATATTTCGTAGTTTTCAATGAATCACCGCTGGTTGTAACGCGGACATTCGAAAAATGAAATCGGAATTATTCCGTGAAAATTACACGCGTTACAAGAGGTCGACCGCCGAGCAGATAGGTAGATAGCAAACAGTAGGTATCAGGCTTTTGTAAAATCGTAAAATTTGCCGATCGGAATTCGAGAACGCGTTGCAACTCAGCACAAGCATAAATTCATATTTTATCGCCGGAATAATGCATTATGCATATTCCCTCTGCCCTCTGCCCTCGTCTCTCCATCGCATTGCATATTTTAACTCGGTTACGAAGTTTTTGCTCTGCTGCATCTCGGCAACACATTTAAATGAACCGCGGTTTTGCTGTGCAACGAGTTTTTAATCGAGAATGCTACATTCAGCTTTTATCCGTGTAAATGAGAAAGATTATTCAACGTTTCCCCTCCTGTTTCCCATTTCTCCAATGTTCTCGGACTGAAAGATTTCCGTGAATCCTCTCTCTTGGTGCGCGTCATTCTTTAAAACATTAACTTCATATTTCACAAATATTCGTCTCACATAATCATGATAATTTGGAATTAGTCATTGTCCTCCTCGGTAAATGCGGAAGAGATGCAAAGATACATGGGTTTCTCAATAACCGTCCAGAGCTAATTAAGTCCTCGAAGAATTAATTAAAGTCTCCCTGGGAAAATCGAGAAATGAGGAAAGCTATTCTTATTGGTAAAATTATTCATTAAGTATATAATTAAGTGTCGTAATCTTTATTAAAATGTCGAATCATTTAACTTTCTATTATTCTTGTATTATAACAATCTATCCCGTTTTATAAAGATTGATTAAGGATGTATT